GGATGGAAGGATGGATGGAGGGAAGGAAGGGTGAATGGATGGATGGATGGATGGATGGATGGATGGATGGATGGATGGATGGATGGATGGATGGATGGATGGATGGATTGACAAACAGACGGATGGATGAATGGATGGATAGATGGATGGAGGGATGGATGGATGAATAGACGAACAGACGGATAGATAGATAGATAGATAGATAGATAGATAGATAGATAGATAGATAGTGCTTTACGGCTGCCCGGGGTGTATTTACACACAGTGCCTCTAGTACAGTGTAATGATTATTTTTACTCCCGGTCCTTTGGCAGCAGAACGACTCCCCATCGGTGCTCTGATTACCACACCTGGCTCCCCCCGCCAGTCTCCATGATGGCCTCCTCCCTCTGCTTTCATTACCACACCTTCTGTTCATCCCTTCTTCTCACTGCCTGCCACACAGCCAACAGTAGCTATCAGTAGCCAGCATTAGCCGGCAGTAGCTAGCAGTATCCAGCAGTATCCAACAGTAGCCAGCAGTAGCCAGCAGTAGCCAACAGTAGCCAGCAGTAGCTAGTAGTAGCTAGCAATATCCAGCAGTATCCAGTAGTAGCCAGTAGTAGCTAAAAGTAGCCAGTAGTAGCTAGCAGTAGCCAGCAGTAGCCAGTAGTAGCCAGCAGTAGCCAGCAGTAGCTAAAAGTAGCCAGTAGTAGCCAGCATTAGCCAACAGTAGCCAGCAGTAGCTAGCAGTAGCCAACATCAGCCAACAGTAGCCAGCAGTAGCCAGCAGTAGCCAGCAGTAGTTAGCAGTAGCCAGCAACAGCCAACATTAGCCGACAGTAGCCAGCAGTAGCCAACAGTATCCAGCAGTATCCAGCAGTAGCCAGCAGTAGCCAGCAGTAGCTAAAAGTAGCCAGTAGTAGCCAGCAGTAGCCAGCAGTAGCCAGTAGTAGCCAGCAGTAGCCAGCAGTAGCTAGCAGTAGCTAGCAGTATCCAGCAGTATCCAGTAGTAGCCAGTAGTAGCTAGCAGTAGCCAGCAGTAGCCAGCAGTAGCTAGCAGTAGCTAGCAGTATCCAGCAGTATCCAGTAGTAGCCAGTAGTAGCTATCAGTAGCCAGCAGTAGCTAGTAGTAGCCACCAGTATCCAGCAGTTGCTAGCAGTAGCCAGCAGTAGCCAGCAATAGTCAACATTAGCCAGCATTAGCCAGCAGTAGCTAGCAGTAGCAAACAGTAGCCAGCATTAGCCAGCAGTGGCCAGCATTAGCCAGCATAAGCCAGCAGTAGCCAGCAGTAGCTAAAAGTAGCCAGTAGTAGCCAGCATTAGCCAACAGTAGCCAGCAGTAGCTAGCAGTAGCCAACATCAGCCAACAGTAGCCAGCAGTAGCTAGCTGTAGCCAGCATTAGCTAGCAGTAGCTAGCAGTAGCTAGCCTTGTTTTTCTCCCGATCACCTCGTGTCTTCCCACGATACACTTTAATTCCTCTTTTTCCTATCAGTTCACCCCATACTCTGTTCCGGATAGATTTACCGGCTTAGGTGATTAATACTTTGAGGGTTCGCTGATGTACAGTTGTGTTATATAATGTATGATAACATTAATATTCGCCCGTTTAAAGAGTCAAAATATAGTTAGAGGATGGAAGTGCTTAGCAGAGGTGGCTCTCAGTGGGGCTGAGCAGGATGGATAGATAGATAGATAGATAGATAGATAGATAGATAGATAGATAGACTTCTAAAATACAGATGTTTAATTGCTTTGTGGTCATTAGAAAGCAGCCAGAATCAGTTACAATAAATAAAGTTAAAGTTAATAGACGGAAACACCAAAAACTAACCAGGTCAGTTCAGTTAAAGCTGATTTATGACAACAAACTACAAGAAAAACGACTA